CAAGTGGTAGAGCGCTAGCCTTGAGCTGAAGAGCTGAGGGACAGCGCCCAGGCCCAGAGTTCAGGCCCCACGACCGGACCCAAAAAAACAAAAAAAACCCTTAAAATTTAGCTGGACACCAGTGGCTCATGACAGTAATCCTAGCTGAGATCTGAAGATTGTGGTCTGAAGCCAACACAGGCAGGAAAGTGTGAGAGACTCTTATCCTCATTTATTTATTTTTATTTTTTTGTCAGTCATGGGGCTTGAACTCTGGGGCTGGGCGCTGTCCCTCAGCATTTCAGCTCAAGGCTAGTGCTCTGCCACTTGAGCCATACAGCCACTTCTGGCATTTTTTTGTTTATGTGGTACTGAGGAATTGAACCCAGGGCCTCATGCATGAGAGGCAAGAACTCTACCACTAAGCCATCTTCACAGCCCTCTTATCTCCATTTAACTACCAAAAAAGGCAGAAGTGGAAATGTGGCTATAGTGGTATATAGCACTTGCTTTGGGCAAAAAAGGCTCAGGGATAGCACCTAGGCCCTGAGTTCAAGCCGCAGGGCTGGCATAAAAAAACAACAACAAAACTTTAAAACTTGAAATATTCTGCTATGTTTATTTATTTATTGCCAGTCCTAGGGCTTGAACTCAGGACTTGGGCGCTGTCCCTGAGCTTCTTTGCTCAAGGCTAGCACTCTACCTCTTGAGCCACAGTGCCCCTTCTAGCTTTTTCTGTTTATGTGGTACTAAGGGCTTCATGCATTCTAGGCAAGCACTCTACCACTAAGCCATATCCAAATGTTTAAAAAAATACTGTAACACCTCTGTACATCATCTTTATAATAACAATAAAAATAACATTGAAATATAATGACACTGAATATATTTTTGCAATAATCTAGATACATATTTAAAATAGTCATTTAAGGATAAGATATCTAGGTTTTTCCTTTAATCTGGCAGGGAGAATTGGAGAAAGGTATTCATAAAACAAGTCTGATCAAAGTTCATATACTTAATCTTTAGTTCAATACTTTTGTGAAGTAGGGTTTTTATAGGGAGATTAGGTCAGAAAAACCTCTGTACTCTTGAGTAGCTTAATGAATGGAATAATAAACTTGGGAATGGATTAATTATGTATTAAAAATAACATAGAAGCTGGATACAGAAAGTAGTAAGTTAAAAAAAGAGCTGTGATATGATACCATGTCTTGGATAGAATTTTAACAGTGATGTTGTCTGTAGAGTGACGGATTACAGGTGGTTTTTGTCTTTTATGCTCTATAATGAAATCTATGATTTCTCTACAGTGAATATATATTAGATCTGTAATGTTACTTGGAAAGCCCTAGCATAAATGAAACATGTTATCCTAGAATCTCTTTACAAAATGAATGAATGTGTGCTGAGTGCCAGCAGCTCAAGTGTGTAATTCTAGCAACTCAGAAGGTTGGGATTTGAGGCTTGAGGTTCAATACCAGCCTTTTTTTTTGGGGGGGGGGTCCCGTCGTGGTGCCTGAACTCTGGGCCTGGGCGCTGTCCCTCAGCTCTTCAACTCAAGGCTAGCACTCTACCACTTGAGCCACAGCGCCACTTCTGGCTTTTTTCTTTTTGCTTATGTGGTGCTGAAGAATCGAACCCAGGGCCTCATACATGCAAGGCAAGCGCTCTACCACTGAGCCACCTTCCAGCCCCGATATCAGCCTTTTTTGACCTTGGTAAAATAAGTATTTTATTCCCTAAAGGGGCATTTCTCCTGAAAAAAATTTTGTATGTTTCTTTTAATTGTAAAAATACTGTACAGAGGGGTTACAGTTACATGAGCAAGGTAATGAGTATATTTCTTTCTTTCTTTTTTTTGATCTGGTCATGGGGCCTGAACTCTGGGCCTGGGCGATATCCCTCAGCTCTTCAGCTCAAGGCTAGCGCTCTACCACTGGAGCCACAGCGCCACTTTCAGCTTTTTTCTTTTTTGCTTATGGGGTGCTGAGGAATCGAACCCAGGGCCTCATACATGCAAGGCAAGCGCTCTACCACTGAGCCACCTTCCCAGCCCAATGAGTACATTTCTTTTTTTTTTTTGGTCGGTTGTGGGGCTTGAACTCGGCCTGGGCACTGTCCCTCAGCTCTTCAGCTCAAGGCGAGCGCTCTACCACTTAAGCTACAGTGCCACTTCCGGTTTTCTGGTGGTTTTATTGGAGATAGGAGTCTCACGGTCTCTCCTGCCCGGGCTGGCTTTGAACCTCGATCCTCAGATCTCAGCCTCCTGAGTAGCTAGGATTACAGGCGTGAGCCACCAGCGCCTGGCTCCAATGAGTACATTTCTTATCAAGCATTGTTGCCTCCTCCTTTGTTTTTCCCTTAGGATCCCTTCCCTTCCACCTCCATGAGACTCTTATCTCCAATTAACCATCAAAAAGCCCAGAATTGGAGCCATGGCTCAATGGTTGAGAGGTAGCCTTGAGCAGTTTAAGCCCCAGGACTGGCACACATACATACACAAAAAAGAGTAATTTGTAAAAAAAAAAAAACAACAAAAATCCAAGTCAAGATCCGAAACCTCAGAAAATGTAAAAGGCAGATGTGGCCCTCAAAGGAAGATGGGCTGTTAAAATTTACTTACCCAGCCAGGCACAAGGGGCTCATGCCTGTAATCCTAGCTACTAAAGAGGCTGAGAGATAAGGATCCTGGTTCAAAGCCAACCTGGGCAAAAAAGTTCCCATGAAACTTTTATCTCTAATTAACCCTCAAAAATTGGAAGTGGCGTCCTAGTTCAACTCGTAGAGTACTAGCTTTGAGCACAAAAAGGCTCTAAGACAGCACTCAAGCCCTGAGTTCAAGCCCACAATGAACAAAAACAACAAAGAATTTACTTACCCACTTTGAGAAAAGTTTTTAGTTCCAAGGGTCGAAGCACCGGTTGCTTTTCTATGCGACCGTAGGTTTCTGCTATGCTTTCTACTTCCACTTTAGGGCATCTAAACAGCTCGTACGTTCCGTCTCGGTTCTGAATAAAGCTACGTGTGATTTCCAAGGGCATCTGGACACAAAGACAGAAAGGTGAGACAGGGAAAACATTCAAAGCAAGCAAATGCTTGGATACTAAAAGATCTTTTTTTTGGGGGGGGGTCTGGTCATGGGGTCTGAACTCTGGGCCTGGATGCTGTCCCTCAGCTCTTCAGCTCAAGACTAGTGCTCTACCACTTGAGCCACAGCGCCACTTCCGGCTTTTTTCTGTTTGCTTATGTGGTGCTGAGGAATCGAACCCAGGGCCTCACGCATGCAAGGCAAGTGCTCTACCACTGAACCACCTTCCCAGCTCTTAAAAGAGCTTTTATTATTCTTTCTTTCTTGTTTTCTTAAGTGCACTCAAACTAATTAAAATTTTCTTTGTATTTTCAAGTAAATCCAAATTTGCCATCAACAAATCCAAATCACCATTTTTTCCTTACATCATTTATGGATTTCCTTAATTTGAACCTATCCAACCCAATTTTATTCCTTCTCCTACTGCACTACTGGCAGCATTCTTCTAGTACTCAGCTCCACCTACAGTTCTCCCATCTTGTGTATGTAAGTGATGAAGTTTTCAGAGCCTATTTTCTCACTTGCAAAACCCAAGTAATAGCAGTGGATGACTGGGAGGATGAATATGTCCATGTAAGTAAATACTTCCAATAGCAGAAGCTCTAATGAGCACTGTAACACTGGTTCCCTGCCTCAGTTGCCCTTGCCCTGGTTAATTGAAGAGGGTATGTCTCAGAGATTTGTATGCCCAGACTGGCTTTGAACTTCCATTCTCAGAACTCACCTTCCTGAGTAGCTACAATTGTAGGTGTGAACCACCCACGCCTGACTACCTTTTTTTTATTTTCCCCAGACCTGGAGCTTGAACTCAGGGCCTGTGCACTGTCCCTGTGCTTCTTTTCTTTTGCTCAAGGCTAGCACTCTACCACTTGAGCCACAGCACCACTTCCTGCTTTTTCTGCTTATGTGGTACTGAGGAATTGAACCCAGGCAAGCACTCTACTAGTGAGCCACATTCCCCCTAATGCTTTATTTTTTGTTGTTGTTAGTCATGGGGCTTGAACTCTGGGCCTGGGTGCTGTCCATCAGCTATTCAGCTCAAGGCGAGTGCTTTACCACTTGAGCCACAGCACCACTTCTGGTTTTCTGGTGGTTTATTGGAGGTAAGAGTCTCATGAACTTTCCTGCCTGGGCTGGCTTTGAACCGTGATCCTCAGATCTCAGCCTCCTGAGTAGCTAGGATTACAGGCATGAGCCACTGGTGCCTAAGGCTTCAGTAACTCAAAAAATTGTTTTTATTGTTATTATAAAAGGATGTACAAAGGTGTTACAGTTACATAACTTAGCTAAAGAATACTTTTCTTGGGCTGAGAATATAGCTTAGTGGTAGAGTGCTTGCCTAACATGCACAAAGCCCTGGGTTCTATTTCTCAGTACCACATATACAGAAAAAGCCAGAAGTGGAGCTGTGGCTCAAGTGGTAAAACTGCTAGCCCTGAGCACAGAGAGACTCAGGCCCTGAGTTCAAGCCCCAGGACTGGCCAAAAAAGGGAATACCTTTCTTTTGAGATCATGTCACCCATTCCCTTGCTCTTTTTTCTCTTTTTATGTACTCTTTTTTTTTTTCTTTTTCTTTTTTGCCAGTCCTGGGGTTTGAACTCAGGGCCTGGGAGCTGACCCTAAGTCTCTCTGTGCTTAAGACTAGTGCTCTACCACTTGAGCCACAGCACCACTTCTGGCTTTTTCTATTCTATTCAAGTGGTACTGAGGAATTGAATCCAGGGCTTCATGCATGCAAGACAAGCACTCTACAACTAAGCCACCTTCTTAGCCCCCCTTTTTTTTCTTTTTTAATGTCAATACTGGGCTTGAACCCAGGGTCTGGACACTATCCCTTAGCTTTTTCTTTTCAAGATGGCACTCTACAACTTAAGTCATAGCTCCACTTCCAACATTTGTGGCTTAAATGGAGATAAGAGTCTTACAGACTTTCCTGCCTGGGTTGGCTTTAAACTGTGATCCCTAGATCTTAACCTCCTGAGTAGCTAGTATTACAGGTGTGAGCCTTTGGCACCTGGCTTCAGTAACTTTCTTGCTTGGGTTGGCCTTCAAGCCAAACCCTTCTGATCTCAGACTCCCATGTATCCGTCATTATAGGCAAGAATCCTAACACCTGGCAATGATCACTTCTGAATAATCTCTTAGCATGGAAAAAGAGAAACTTTCACTGACAAATGGAACTCAGGGATCTGATGCAAACTTACTCCTCATACCTGCATCCCTCTTTGTGCTCCCACTATTGTAGAAATAAACTCTTACCTCTGGAGTATCTAAGATTTGTTTAACTTGCAGGATATTTGTGATGTGCCAGGTATACTTGGAAAAGGTTCCCAGGGGCAAGGCATCTTTCCGAACAAAAGCTTAATATAAAAAAGGAACAAAATTAGACTACCAAATAATAACATTATTTTTTATTGCCTGCCTGCCTGCCTGCCTGCCTGCCTTCCTTCCTTCCTTCCTTTCTTTCTTTCTTTCTTTCTTTCTTTCTTTCTTTCTTGTCTGGTTGTAGGGCCTGAACTCTGGGCCTGGGCACTGTCCCTCAGCTCTTCAGCTCAAGGCTAGCTCTCTACCACTTGAACCACAGTGCCACTTCCAGCTTTTCTGAGTGGTTTATTGGAGATAAGAGTCTCACAGACTTTCCTGCCCCGCTAGCTTTGAACCGTGATCCTCAGATCTCAACCTCCTGAGTAGCTAGGATTATAGGTGTGAGCCACCAGTGCCTGGCTTTGCTATATGAAATTTTTGAGGCTTCTTAGAGATGCTGTCTTTAGGATTTTGTCTGTATGGTTTTTTGTTTATTTATTTTTCGGTTCTGGGGATCAAACCTAGGATCTTATGCCTGCTACTGCTATGCACAGGACTCCATTATAAGACAGATTTTTTTGTTGTTGTGCCTTGAACTCTAGGTCTGGGCACTGTCCCTCAGCTCTTCAGCTCAAGGCTAATGCTCTATCACTTGAGCCATAGTGCCACTTCCAGTTTTCTGAGTGGTTTTATTGGAGATAAGAGTCTCAAGGACTTTCCTGCCTGAGCTGACTTTGAACTATGATCCTCAGATCTTAGCCTCTTGAATAGTTAGGATTATAGGCATGGGCCACCAGCCTCTGGCAAAACAGACTCTTACAACTGTAGAATTAACAAATCAAGCCGGGCGCTGGTGGCTTGTAATCCTAGCTACTCAGGAGGCTGAGATCTGAGGATCGCGGTTCAAAGCCAGCTTGGGCAGGAGAGACCGTGAGACTCCTATCTCCAATAAACCACCAGAAAACCGGAAGTGGCACTGTAGCTCAAGTGGTAGAGCGCTCACCTTGAGCTGAAGAGCTGAGGGACAGCGCCCAGGCCCAGAGTTCAAGCCCCAGGACGGACAAAAAAAAAAAAAAAAACAGATCAAATCACAGTCCTTAAAATATTACACGGAGTTTAAGATTTGTAATGTGATTGCTAATCCATTGTTTGCATGCAGTATTACAAAGCTATTCCACCAAAGGTCCTACAAAAATAGCCAAGTGATTAAAATTAATGTTTAAACTGAAAGAGATAACATTGCTTCAAAAGGTATGCTATAGAGACAGTTTTGTTTTGTTTTGGTGCTGGTCCTGGGACTTGAACTCAGAGCCTAGCGCTGTCCCTGAGCTTTTTTGTTTAAGGCAAAAGTTTTACCATGTGAGCCAAAGCTCCACTTCCAGATTTTTTTGTTTTTTGTTTTGGTTGGTTAATTGGAGATAAGAATCTCATAGAAGCTGGACACTGATGGGTCAAGTCTGTAATCCTAGCTACTCAGGAGGCTGAGATCTGAGGATCTCGGTTCAAAGCCAGCTCGGGCAGGAACATCTGTGATACTCTTGTCTCCAATTCACCACCAGAAAACCGGAAGTGGCACTGTGGCTCAAGTGGTTGAGTGCTAGCCTTGAGCTGAAGAGCTGAGAGATAGTGCCCAGGCCCAGAGTTCAAGCCCCCCCCTGTGGCTGACAAAAAAAAAAAATCTCATAGACTTTCTTGCCGAGGCTGGCTTCAAACCACAATCCTCAGATCTCAGCCTTCTGGGAGGTTAGGATTATAGATATGAACTTACAATGCCCAGCCAAAGACAAAGGTTTTCATAGTCTAAAACAATGATTTACAGCTTGCGTTATTGAGAAACAGCTAATCCTCAAAGAGTCACTATTATGAGAAATAACAATTTATTGAAGAAATAGCATTGGTTTCTATTTGTAATTATCCTAGGCTATTTGCCACTGAAATCCTCTCCTTCCTTCTCCCACCCCATTTTTAATTTTTTTGCTCTTCTGGGGCTTGAATTCAGAGCATGGGTTCTATCCCTGAGCCTCTCTATTCTTAAGACTAGTGCTCTAGGGGCTGGGAAGGTGGCTCAGTGGTAGAGTGCTTGCCTTGCATGCCTGAGGCCCTGGGTTCGATTCCTCAGCACCACATAAGCAAAAAGAAAAAAGCCAGAAGTGGCGCGTGGCTCAAGTGGTAGAGCGCTAGCCTTGAGCTGAAGAGCTGAGGGACAGCGCCCAGGCCCAGAGTTTAGGCCCCATGACCGGACCGCCCCCCCCCCAAAAAAAAGGCATGACAAAGAGAGAAGACTGGAAAGTATTGCAGGGGCTGAGAAGGTGGCTCAGTGGTAGAGTGCTTGCCTTGCATGCATGAGGCCCTGGGTTCGATTCCTCAGCACCACATAAGCAGAAAAAAAAAATCCGGAAGTGGTGCTATGGCTCAAGTGGTAGCGTGCTAGCCTTGAGCTGAAGATCTGAGGGACAGTGCCCTAGCCCAGAGTTCAAGCCCCATAACTTACCAGAAAAAAAAACATGAAAATGTCACAATGAAATCCCCCTGTATAGCTAATTATACTATTTTAAAAAAACCTTCCTAAATAAAAATCTTCCTTTTCCCAAAACTTGGGAATCATTAGTAAAAGGGTACACACACACACACACACACACACACACACACACACACACACACACACACACACACACACACACACACACACACACACACTATAATATAGGTCCAAGATGCTGACTCAGTAAGTATTGGGGCCTGTAATACTTTTGCCGAAATTTGTTCATACTTAGAAATATCCAACTTTTTGGTGGCCACCTGCATCGCTTGTCATTGTTCTTCTTTAACCAAATGTATATTAAAATTTTTTTTTCTCATTCATTCTTGCTGAAGTAAGGAAGAATGGACCTTCTAAAAATATAGTCACTGCTGGGCGCTGGTGGCTCATGCTTGTAATCCTAGCTACTCAGGAGACTGAGATCAGAGGATCACTGTTCAAAGCCAGCCTGGGCAAGAAAGTCTGTGAAAAAAATTTTTTTTTGCTGGTCATGGGGCCTGAACTCTGGTTCTGGGCACTGTCCCTCAGCTCTTCAGCTCAAGGCTAGTGCTCTACCACTGGAGCCACAGCGCCACTTCTAGCTTTTTCTGTTTATGTGGTGCTTAGGAATCGAACCCAGGGCCTCATGCTTGCACGGCATGCACTCTACCACTGAGCTACTTTCTCAGCCCCCGTGAAATTCTTATCTCCGATAAAACACTAGAAAACCAGAAGTGGCACTGTGGCTCAAGCAGTAGAGCGCTGGCCTTGAGCTGAAGAGAGCAGATACAGTGCCCAAGCCTAAGCCCAGAGCTCAAGCCCCATGACCTACCAAAAAAAAAATAAAAATAGGGCTGGGAAGGTTTCTCAGTGGTAGAGCGCTTGCCTTGCATGCCTGAGGCCCTGGGTTCGATTCCTCAGCAGCACGTAAGAAAAAAGAAAAAAGCCAGAAGTGGCGCTGTGGCTCAAGTGGTAGAGCACTAGCCTTGAGCTGAAGAGCTGAGGGACAGTGCCCAGGCCCAGAGTTCAGGCCCCACGACCGGACCCAAAAATAAAAAGAAAAAAAAATATATATATAGTCATTGTTCTAAGAACTAATTACTGAAATCACACTCCAACTAATCCCAACTAATCCCACTCCAAGCATGTGACTAAAATAGAAATCCTTAACCTGAGAGTCCTACACAGATCTTTTTTTTCCTAATAATTCACTAGGATCAAAATGTGTGTTGCTATTCCTGAAGGAAGTCTCATACCTGTGGTGGAATTGGGGAGCCGCTTTTTTGCATTGCCTATTGATATTCTCTGTTGCAGGGCATCAAAAAAGGACTGAGGAATGTGGAACACCAGTGGCTCTGGTTTGCCTGCCGAAGAAAAAATAAAGTTATTTTAGAGAAACTTCACTTGATGTTTAGAGAAAAGTAAAAAGAAAAGGAGACTGTCATTGGTAGATCAAGCCTATAAAATCCTAGCTATTCAGGCTAAGATCCTGAGGATTGTAGTCCAAAGCCAGCCCAGACAGAAAAGTTTAACAGGATAGACTCCATTTCCAAAACAAACAATATAAAGCAGGGATGAGCTGGACGCCAGTGGCTCATGTCACTTAGCAGTAATCAAACTATTAAGGAAAACTTTTTTTTTTTGGTGCCAACACTAGATGGGGTTTGAACTCAGGGCCTGGGCACTGTCCTTTAGTTTTTGCTTAGGACAGTGCTTTGTCAAGGCTGGCACTCAACTACTTGGGTAACAGCTCTACTTCTAGCTTTTTTTGGTAGTTAACTGGAGAGAAAAATCTCATGGACTAGCCAGGAGTTGGTGGCTGACACCTATAATCCTAGCTACTCAGGAGGCTGAGATCTGAGGATCACAGTTCAAAGTCAGCTTGGGCAGGAAACTCCATGAGACTCTAATCTCCAACAAACCACTCAGAAAACCAGAAGTGGCATTGTGACTCAAGTGGTAGAGTGGCTTTGAGCTGAAGAGCTGAGGGACAGCACCCAGGCCGGGAGTTTAAGCCCCATGACTGACCCCGCCCCCCTCCCAAAAAAAATCTCATGGACTTTCCTGCCTGGGCTGGCTTTAAACCTCAATTCTGAAATCTCAGCACTTAATAAAGCCAATCAAGGCCCTCAATTTAAGCCACTGGCAAGTATCTGATAAATATCTGGTTAAATAATCTACTGTATGTGAGGGGGAAAATCCACACAAAACAATGTTAAAGAACACACACACATGCACATACACATATATACATGTGCGTGCCACAAAAGAGAGCTATTTTCCAAGAGACTAAGAGACTCCTGTCTCTTGGAACAGAGGTCCATCAAGTGGGGTAGTGTAGTAAGCCAGTGTGTTTGCACAATGGTAGAGACAGTCTTTTGGAAAGAATATCAGACCTATTTGTGTAGCCAGAGCTTAGAACTAGAAACAATAGGAAATATTACAAGCCAACATCTTTCCTCAGACAATGAAGACTTCCCCAAAGCTGAAACTGTTCAGCAATGTTAAGAGCTGCCTCAAAAGCACTGAGCTCCTCCTAGCTGAATAGAGCCCAACAAACCAGAATTAAGGAGGCTTCTTTTCTTTTCTTTTCTTTTTTTGGTCCAGTCATGAGTGCTGAACTCTGGGCCTGGGCGCTGTCCCTCAGCTCTTCAGCTCAAGGCTAGCGCTCTACCACTTGAGCCATAGCGCCACTTCTGGCTTTTTTCTTTTTGCTTATGTGGTGCTGAGGAATCGAACCCAGGGCCTCAGGCATGCAAGGCAAGCGCTCTACCACTGAGCCAACTTCCCAGCCCTTTTTTTTTTTTTTTTACCAAACAGACAAATGCAAAAACACAGATAAACAAACCACACTTTTATTTTTCTGAGACAGGTCATAATAACCTGGCCTGTGTTGGACTCAAATTCTGTTGAATCTCCTGCCTCTGACTCCCAAATGACTTACACACTGACTTACTTAATATGTGTGGTGCTCTCCTCTATCTCTAAATTCATTTTGTTGGTCCCGCACTTTCCTTGATTAATTGAATGATTAAGTTGCAATTATTCTTTTCTTACAACTTTGATTTCTACTATGAGGTGTCCTCCCCCCTCCTCCCCGCTCCTTTTTTTTTTTTTTGTCGGTCATGGGGCTTGAACTCTGGGCCTGGGTGCTGTCCTTTAGCTTTTCAGCTCAAGGCTAGTGCTCTACCGCTTGAGCCACAGCGCCACTTCTTGTTTTCTGAGCGGTTTATTGGAGGCATGAGCCACCAGTGCCCAGCTACCTTTTCCTGTTTTTTAGAGAAGGTCTTGCTATATGGCTTAGGCTGGCCTTAAACTCATGGTCCTCTTGAATCAGCCTCTGAAGTGCTACGATTACAGACATGTGTTATCACACCCAGTTTGATTTCTACATTCTTCTGGCCAAGTACTCTCTGGATTGAGGTTCATTTACTTCATTTACTTCTCCAATCAAAACAGGGCACCCCGGTGGCTCACATCCATAATCCTAGCTACTCATGAGTCTGAGATCTGAGGATCGCGGTTCAAAGTCAGCCTGGGCAGGAAAGTCTGTGAGACTCTTATCTCCAATAAACCACTAGAAAACCAGAAGTGGCGCTGTGGCTCAAGTGGTAGAACACTGGCCTTGAGCTGAAGAGCTCAGGGACAGCGTCCAAGCCCAGAGTTCAAGCCCCACGACCAACATAACAAGAACAAAAACCAAAACAAAAAACAGTATAACTGGCTGGGCACGGGTAGCTCATGTTTATAATCCTAGCTATTCAGGAGGCTGATTCTTAGGATTGTGGTTGAAGCCAGCCCAGACAGGAAAGTCTGTGGAGACTCTTACCTTCACTTAGCCAACAAAAAGCCAGAAGTGAAGATGTGGCTCAAGTGGTAGAGCACCAGCCTTGAGCAAGACAGCGAAGGGACAGGGCCCAGGCTCCCAGTTCAAGCCTCAGGACCAGCACACACACACACACACAAAGCAAAACACAATTACTTTAATTTCTCTTACTTCAGGAATAGCCCAATTGGGTGATCTATACTTACCATCAAACTGATAGTGCATGGTTTGATGGATACGTTCTGTTACACTGGCCAACCAGTCTTGGAAGGATAAGGTTACCTGTGCCTCATCCAACAACTGACCACAAACTAGAAAAAGAAAAAACTGTTAGTAACTTTAATTTTCTTTTATAATAAATAATTGAAGTTTGAAAAAAGTTAGTGTTTGTACAGAAATAAGAGACCAAAAAAGTGAAATCCAAAGAAACTGGATAAACTAAATGAAAAGTTAATACAAAATCACTGTACATATTTATTTATGTGTGATAATTCAATATAGATTTTTTTTTGTAAGTCGTGGGGCTTGAACTCTGGGCCTGGGCACTGTCCCTGAACTCTTCAGCTCAAGGCTAGCACTCTACCACTTGAGCCACAAGGCCACTTCTGGTTTTATGGTGGTTTATTGAGGATAAGAGTCTCACAGACTTTCCTGCCCAGGCTGGCTTTGAACCATGATCCTCAGATCTCAGCCTCCTGAGTAGCTAGGATTATAGGCATAAGCCACCAAGTGCCTGGCTTAGACATTATTATTATTTTTTAAATATTAGTACTGGGACTTGCACTCAGGGCCTAGGCACTGTCTCTTAGCTTTTCTTGCTCAAGGCCAATGCTCTACCACTAGAGCCACAGCTCCAGTTCTGGCTTTTTTGTGATTACTTGGAGATGAAGAATCTCAAAACTTTTCTGCTTCAGATGGCTTTGAGCCATAATGCTCAGATCTCAGCCTTCTGAGTAGTTAGCATTACAGGTGTAAGCCACTAGTGCTCAGCTTAAGACCTTTTTTAAAAAATGCTTATCCTGGGGTTTCAACTCAGGGGCTGGGTACCTTTTTTTTTTTTCTCTCTCTAGGCTAGCACTCTATCACTTGAGCCACAGCTCTATTTCCAGCTTTTTGGTAGTTCTTTCTTTCTTTCCTACTTTCCTTCTTTCTCCCTTTCTCTCTTTCTTTCTTTTGAAAAGAATCTAATAGACTTTCCTGCACAGGGTGGCTTTTGGACCAGGATCCTCAGATCTCAGCCTCCTGAGCAGCTAGGATTATAGGTATGAGCCACCAATGCCTGGCTTTTTTTTTTTTTTTTGCCAGTCCTGGAGCTTGAACTCAGGGCCTGAGCACTGTCCCTGAGCTTCTTTTTGCTCAAGGCTAGCACTCTAGCACTTCAGGTACAGTGCCACATTCAGCTTTTTCTGTTTATGTGGTGCTGAGCAATCGAACCCAGAGCTTCACGCATGCTAGGCAAGTACCCTACCATTAAGCCACATTCCCAGCTTCCCCATTCCACCCCCCCCCTTTTTTTTTTTTTAAAGAATATAAGGTGCTGGTAGTTCATGCCGCATGCTGATTCCTAGCTGCTTGGGAAACTGAAAGTGGGAGGATTTAAATTCAAAGCCAACTTGGGCTGTAAAGCTCAAATAACCCCTTTTGAAAAAGAACTGGAAGTAGTGGTACACGCTTGTTATCCTAGGTACATAGGAAAGCTAAATTATGCAGATCATACTCAGACACATGCCTAGGCAAGAATCCAAATTCTGTACCAAATTAACCAGCAAGCTGGGTACCATTTGCTTATTCCTGTAATCCTTGCTACTCAGGAGGCTGAGATTTGAGGCCTGAGGTTCACAGCCAGCCTGGGAAAATAATAATAAGAGATGTTTTGTTGTTGGTGCTGGTGGTGGTAGTGGTCATGAGGCTTGAACTCTGGGTCTGGGTGCTGTCCCTGAGCTCTTCAGCTTAAGGATAGCACTCTACCACTTGAGCCACAGTGCCACTTCTGGTTTTCTGGTGGTTTATTGGCGATAAGAGTCTCATGGATTTTCCTGCCTGGGCTGGCTTTGAATTGTGATCCTCTGATCTCAGCTTCTTGATTAGCTAGGATTAGGAGGCGTGAGCCATGGGTACCAGGCTCTTTTTGTTTTGTTTTTGTAAGATCCTGGGGCTTAAACTCAGAGCTTGGGCATTGATTCCTAGATTTTTTTTGTTCAAGGCTCTACCACTTAAGCTACACTGCCACCTGCTTTTTTAGTGTTAACTGGTGGTTTTTTTTTTTTTTTTGGTGTTTAATTGAAAATCTCATGGACTTTCCTGCCCTGGCTGGCTTCTAACCAAAATCTCAGCTTCCTGAGTAAGTAGGATGAGTAGCTGGTGAGATACCAGACAAGATATAGTCTTATTGCAATTAACTGGAAAAAAACAGAAGTGGAGGTGTGAACTCAAGTGGTAAAGCACCAGCACTGATTACAAAAGTTAAGGAAGTATGGGAAGCCCAGAGTTCAAGCCTCAGTAGCAATGGGCACACACACATACACACATACCACCTGAAACCCAAAATGAAACAAAAACCCCCTTCACCAAGTAGTAACATTTTATAAAATGACAGTACAATATTCAATCAGGAAAATGAAAGGGACAGAATCCAGTGACCTGATTCATTTCACCAGTTTCTACATGCACATGTGTAGTATGTGTGCATATGCCCTATGCAACTTGTCATATGTAGATTGTGTGACCAATATAGTCAAAACACAAAAGCATTCTATCACACAACTCTTTTCTATTAATCCCTAGCAACCAATAATCTGTTCTCTGTCTCCATAATTATAGATGGCATTTTATTTTGACCATGATTTGAAAATTGGTGAGATGGGAGACTCAGCTCATATAAATCTATATGCTGCTAACGTTTATGCTGATGTTTAGCATTCTTTGGGAGACAATATGCAATTATTCCTTTTGCTTACTGCTTCTGACTTTTTCAGGAACATTTTCTACTGCTGTATACTATTCTACAGAGGGAGACTTACCCTGCCTTTTTAATGAAGAAGCAACAACAGGCTTTTTTAGGCCACTCTTCCTTAGACTGCCGCTCACTGCATCTTGAGGAATTAGTGACCTATTCATTTGTGCACCTAAATCACAGATTATTAAAGTGATTAAAAATGTTTGTGGAATATATAAACTGATTTGACATTTAATTCTAAAGAGTCTGAAACAAGCTGAGTAAGATGGCTCAACCCTGTAATCTCAGTTATATGGGAGGAAAAGATGGGGGATTGTGATTCGAAGCCAACCTGGGCAAAAGGAAGTTCTAGAGACTCCATCTCAACCAATGGCCAAGTGGGGTGGCACACACCTGTTATCCCAGCTATGGGGGAAGTACACTGGCTGGACAGAGTGACCTGTTCCTTAGCCCTAGTCACACAGGGAGGCACAAGTAGGAGGATCACAACCCTCCAGCCTGGACATAAGTCCCTACCTTGAAAATAACCACTGTAAAAAGGGGTTCGAGTGGTAAAGCACTTGCCCAGCAAGCACTAATCCCCGAGTTCAATTTCCATTATTAAAAAAAGAAAGGCTTGGAAGAGTCTAGATTAGCGTTACACTTCTAAAAGGAAATAAACATTATCCTTTATACATAAAATGTGAACTTTTTATGTTGTTTATAGAATATTAAGGGTGAAAATAGAAATGAAAGGAAGAAAAGAAGTCACCCGTTGTTCTTACTTGTCAGAATAACAACTCTCTGATGAGCCATCTTCCTAGCTTGTTTTGCTGCCCTTTTTTTGTTTTATCAGCTGTGGGACTTGAACTCAGGGCCTAAGCACTGTCCCTGAGCTCTTTTGCTCAAGGCTAGCACTCCACAACTTTGAGGCACAGCACCACTTCTAGTTTTTGAATGGTTAGTTGGAGAGTCTCACAGGGCCTTTTATGTGTGGGCTGGCTTTGAACTGCCATCCCCAAATCTCAGTCTCCTGAGTAACTAGGATTACAGGCATGAGTCACCAGTGCTGGATGCTTTTTTTATTTTAGTAGCTATAATTATACTAAGGTTGCCAGATTAGAAAAAAAAATTCTTTTGAATACAGATAATTTTTTAGGCTAAGCATATTTCAAATATTACATTGGAAATATTATACTAAATGATTAGTTATTTAAAATTCAAGGTCTATTGAGCATTCTATGCTTCGCAAGACTTCCTAAGTGACCTAAACATTTCTCTCCAAGAAGGGTTGGGGGAGAAGGTCAGTGGCAGACTGCTTGGCTAGTATGACAAGGTCCTGAGTTCAATCCCTAGCACTGGAAACTTAAGATGAGCAAAGATTACACATAATTGCTGGGGGTCAGTGAAAGACATAAAGCTTAGTAGAATAATGTCCAGAGGGCTGGGAAGGTGGCTCAGTGGTAGAGCACTTGCCTTGCAAGCATGAGGCCCTGGGTTCGATTCCTCAGCACCACATAAGCAAAAAGAAAAAAGCCGGAAGTGGTGCTGTGGCTCAAGTGGTAGAGTGCTAGCCTTAGCTGAAGAGCTAAGGGACAGCGCCCAGCCCTAGAGTTCAGGCCTCACTACTGGACCCAAAATAAATAAATAAATAAACAAATAAATAATATTCTTTAAAAAAAAAAAAAGAATAATGTCCAGAGACAATATCACCAAACAAATAAAACAGGCTCTCACCAGTCACTTCATCCTTCTTCCTCTTCTTTGGCTTAGAGGCCGCAGTCTCACATACTGATGCAGTTGATTCTGAATGGCAACCTAATTGGGGCACAATAGTCTCTTTAAGACCTAAAAAGAAAAGGTTTATAAATTACTAACTGTTCAAGAGTAACTATGGGCCTCAATCTAGAGAAAATATTAATTTATAAGAAATCTAAATCCGGGCTGGGAAGTTGGCTCAGTGATAGAGTGTTTGCCTCACATGCACGAGGCCCTGGGTTCGATTCCTCAGCACCACATAAGCAGAAAAAAAAAAGCCGGAAGTGGTGCTGTGGCTCAAGTGGTAGAGTGCTAGCCTTGAGCTGAAGAGCTGAGGGACAGCGCCCAGGCCCAGAGTTTAGGCCCACGACTGACCCAAGGAAAAAAAAAAAAAAATCTAAATCCTCAAAACAAAGAATACAGTCTTTGCTTTAAAATAAATTTCTTGAAAGAACTCTGAAAAATATGTGTTTTTGTTCATAGTTTATTAAATTGGTAAAGAGGCTCTACCAGGCTGGGGCTATCACTCAGTGATAGAGTGCTTGCCTAGAATGAGGCCGTAGGTTTGACTCTCTACCACAGGACAAACAAACCATCAAAAAAACCAACTAGCCAGGAGCTGGTGACTCATGCCTGTAATCCTAGATACTCAGGAGGCTGAGATCTGAGGATAGTGGTTCAAAGCCAGCCCAAGCAGGAAAGTTTGTGAAACTCTTTATCGCCAATGAACTACCAGATAACTAGAAGTGACGCTGTGGCTCAAGTGGTAGAGTGCTAGCCTTGAGCAGAAGAGCTTAGGGACAGCGCCCAGGTCCCAGAGTTCAAGCCCCATGACCAACAAAAAACAAACAAAAAAAATGATTAAGCAATATAAAACTAAAAAGTTGGGAGCTGGGCACTGGTGGCTCATGCCTATAATTCTAACTACTTAGGAGGCTGAGATCTGAGGATCTTAGTTCAAAGCCAGACCAGGCAGAAAAGTTAATAAATTCTTTTTTTTTTTGGTCCAGTCATGGGGCCTGAACTCTGGGCCTGAGCGCTGTCTCTCAGGTCTTCAGCTCAAGGTTAGCGCTCTACCACTTGAGCCACAGCACCACTTCCGGCTTTTTTCTTTTTGCTTATGTGGTGCTGAAGAATCGAACCCAGGGCCTCAGGCATGCAAGGCAAGCGCTCCACCACTGAGCCAACTTCCCAGCCCAAAAAGTTAATGAATTCTTATCTCCAATAATCTACCAAAAAGCCAGAAATGGAGCTGTGGTTCAAGTGGTAGAGTTCTAACCCTGAGCCAAACAAGCTCAAGCACAGTGCCCAGGCACTGAGTTCAAACTCCACTAGCATGTATGCATGCACATGTGTGCGCGCACACACACACAAAGTTGGGAGCTACTACCAGCTAAAAATTAAGATAAACTAGATGCTGGTGGCTCATGCCTGTAATCCTACCTACTAAGATGAAGATAGAATTCAAAGTCAGCCTGGGCAGGAAAATCTGACTTATCTTAATTAAACCAGCAAAAAGCCAGAAGTGGCTAGGAGAAAATGAGAGAAGGGGTGACATTATCCAAACAGAAATGTACTCATTACCTGACTTAAATAACAACTGCCACCACTTTGTACATTATCATCTTAACAATTGAAAATAAGCCAGAAGTGGATCTTAAGCTCAAGTTGTAGAGTACCAACCTTCAGTGCAAAAGTTAAGCAAGCTTATAAGGCCCTGAATTCAAAACCTACTATTAGCATGGCACCCAACTAAAAAGATCATTAGGGCTGAGAATGTAGCTTAGTGGTAGAGTGCTTGTATAGCATGCATGAAGCCCTGGTTAGATTCCTCAGGACCACATAAACAGAAAAAGCTAGAAGAAGCCGGGCGCTGGTGGCTCACGCCTGTAATCCTAGCTACTTAGGAGGCTGAGATCTGAGGATCGCAGTTCAAGGCCAGCCCGGGCAGGAGAGACCATGAGACTCCTATCTCCAATAAACCACCAGAAAACCGGAGGTGGCGCTGTAGCTCAAGTGGTAGAGCACTAGCCTTGAGCTGAAGAGCTGAGGGACAACGGCCAGGCCCAGAGTTCAAGCCCCACGACCGACAAAAAAAAAAAAAAAAAAAAATCTAAATCCGGGGCTGGGAAGGTGGCTCAGTGGTAGAGTGATTGCCTTGCATGCAGGAGGCCCTGGGTTCGATTCCTCAGCACCACATAAGCAGGAAAAAAAAAGCCGGAAGTGGCGCTGTGGCTCAAGTGGTAGAGCACTAGCCTTGAGC